GTGGAGGAAGGGAGGAGTCCTCGGGAACGAGTTACAGGGGGGCTAAAGGAAGGCGCCAGAGCAGGTGAAATAGGAGTCGGCAGGGAATAAGATGGCGGCAAGGTGGGGCTAGAAAATGGCGGGGCAAAAGATGGCGGTGGAGGAAATAATGGGGTGGGAGAAGATGGCGGTGGAGGCACTGGTGGGGGTTGAGGGACAGAAAATGGCGGCGAGGTGGGGCTGGAAGAAACAGGGGCGGAGGAGGCAGGAGGGAGAACAGGCTGGCTAGGTGAAGCGGAAGATGGCAGCGGAGTTAACTGAGGGGGTTGGGGAGCAGAGGGAGTTACAGGAGGAGGAGACCTGTATGGAGGGGGTTCGTCTGCAGGGTCAAAATTATCAGAAGTAGGGGGTAGTGGAGGCGGTGAGGATGGAGGGGGGTTGGAAGCAAGGAGAACCTGGGAAGGAGAACAGGTGAGACAGTAAGGGGGATTTTGAGCAAGTAGGCAGAGTATGGAATCTCTTTCCATTTTTTCAGGCGCTGGCAGTAATTAAAGAGATCCCGGAGAATATCGGGATCGAGTGTGCCCTCAGGGGGCCGTTTATTTTGGTTATCTAGAGGATAATAAGGCCAATCTTGTGTGCAAAATTTGGTTAGGAGTTGGGTTTAATGTCAGGCTTGAGGGATAAAGCGGTGAGGTTGTTTAAGAGACATTGTAAGGGTGAATTGCCCCGAAGTGAGGAGGCAGAAGCTCCCATTCCAAAAAAAGGGTTTAGAGGAGAGAAGTCAGAGGAGGATTAAAGATGAGTCCTTCGGCTGGATGAGAAAGACAGGACTCAGAGGGGTGTCCCCAATGAGTCACGCCGATCTCAAGGGAGAGGTTCAATTATGAACCCAGAGAGAAGGGGGTGTAGGTCGTCACCTAGACCCTCACTTCCCTTAGGCGAATTTGCCTGGAGCCGGAAGGAATCTAGCGCGCTAGGGTTTTGACGGACGGCGGAGGTCCGGGACCCGGTAGGAGGAAGGTTAAAAGGAGTGAGAGAAAAAGAGAGGAATGGGGGCTTAGCCTCCGGGGCCGGGGTAATGTGATTAGGGTGAAGGTTTAAATAATCTACAAGCCTGACAAAAGGAAAAAGGGGGCTAACCTAACGGATGAGCCGGTGGTGGGTGAAGGAAGCCAGCGCCGGAGAAAATAGACGAGGGCGGACCGTCAGTCCCGGGGGGCCGCGGAGGAGTCCAAGGAAGGAGTCCCCTGGCGCGGGGCGAACTCCTTCCCAGGTTTCGGCACCAATGAAAGGGCGCACGGATGAAGGAGGCATGCGAGACCCGGGCTGACAGTTCACCACAGAAGTTCCACTTTATTTAAGGACTGCGTGTATATTTATAGGGAGCTGTGTTCTGGGTTTGGATAGGGGGTGGACGGGGTGGTAGCTGATTGGACGGGACTGGGCAGGAAGTGAGCTTTGACCGGTGACTGGTTGAGGTTTGGTACCGGCGGGCTTTTACTGAGGAGAAGAACCTGGAAGGGTGCCATATTGCCAGGGAGTGCCTTCCCCCTCCCGCTCCATTTGAGTGCCCACGGTATCCCTACATAAATCAATTAAGATAAAGATTGTCAGATCAGATTTTTTAAAAACTGCTTACATAAAACATACCTGATATGTAAGGATACAGAAAGTTTTAAAGTGAAAAGATGTCAAGGCATACCATTGCTAGCATTAACTAAATGAAAATTGGTGTGCTTTGTTAATATCAGACAACTCAAAAAGCAAATCTCATATAATTTCCAAGGATTCAGATTGAGCAGAGTGCAGTTAAACTAGAAATAAATATCTGGAAAATCTCCTTATGTTTGGAAATACCCTTTAAAATAACCTGTGGGTCAAAGAAGAAATCACAGTATGTTATAAAATATTTGAAACTGAATGATGAAAACACTGTATATCAAAATTTTTGCATTGTAGCTCAAGCCATGTATAGAGAATCTGTGGCACAAAATATATTAGAAAAGAAGAAAGGCTGAAAGTCAGTAAGCTACCTAAAGATTCATCTCAAGAAGTTTGAAACAGAATAGCAAATTATATCCAAAGAAGGTTAAAAAAAAAAAAAAGGAATAAAGATGAGTACAATTTAACCACTTTATGAAACTATTTGTCACTATCTTCTAAATAATCAAACTCATACCCTATAATTCAATTTTACTCCTAGCATATATTCAACAGAAATGTCTACAAAAGTGTGTTGCAGGACATGTACAAGAATTTAAAGCAACTTTATTTATAATTAGAAGGAACACAAAGTCCACCAACAGTAGAACATATAAATAAATTATAATGTGTTTGTACAGTGGAATAAGACTCAGTAACGAGAACGCAGAGCTGTGGCAACCACATGGATGAATCTCACAAAACATAATATTGTGTAAAACAAGCCAGCCATGAAAGAATTCATACTCTATTCTTGTATTAAAAGTTTTCAACTCATGATGTTAGTATAAATGCTGAAAATTTTTACACAATTAACATATATGAGAAAAACAGCTTAGCAAAGTTGAAGTAGAAAAGAACCTTCTTAATCCAATAATAGGAATCTACCAAAAAAAAAAAAAACAAACCCCCAAACAAAAAACCAACCTGCAGCAAACATTGTACTTAGTGGTGAAATGTTGAACGTATTCTTGAAAATCAGGAACAAGACGAGTGCCTGCTATTAACATTTCTATTCAACATTGTTCTGAAAGTCCCAGCCAGTGTAGCAAAGAAAAACAGATGGAAAAAAGTATTAAAAAAGAAGAAGAGAATTATTTGTAGATGATATGATTGTTGACAAAGAAAACCTAAAGTACTCTACAGATAAAGTATTAAAATACCAAGATTGATGGATAATCATTATTTAAACATCAGTTACATTTCTGCACACCAGCAATAAACAAAGCAAAATTTAAAAGAAAGCATTTACGAAAATAACCAAAAAATTTCAAGTTCTCAGGAATAAGCCTAACAAAAGATAGGCATGACCCATATGGAGAAAACTGTAAAAGTTTATTGAGAGAATTACAGGAGATTTAAATAGATAGAGATATACCATGTTCATGGATTGAAAGACTCCATATTGTAAAGATGTCAATTCTATCCAAACATTTCTGTAGATTTAATACGATCTCCATTAAGCTTTGCAGCTGGATTTTGTAAGTGTGTGTATGTAGATAGTTTGATAAGTTTATTCTAAATATATAAGGGTGGTCAAAGGTCCAAGAACAGCTAAGCTACTCTTGCTGAGAAAATTTTGAATATGTGGGAAAGTATGCATATTACTGTATGAAATGACTCAATATTGTATGATATAAATTCTATACCAATTAATCTGTAAAGTCAGTGCATCCCAATAAAAATCCCAACAAGATTTTTTAGTAGGACCTGACATGATATATATGAAATTCATTTGAAGATAAAGCATGGTATTAGCCAAAAAGAAAATATTTATAAAGCAATGGGGAGGTCTTGCTTTGCCACATAGCAGATATACTGTAAATCTTACAGAAATTAAAACAGTGTAGTGTTACATAGAATATAATGTAGAATCCCAAAACAAAATTTGTATGTGATGACATTATAAACCAATGAGAAAAAGGTAGGCTTTGATATTGGGACAGATGTTAATTTGAATATTTTTACTCCTGATGATCCACTAGCATAAAAATCCTTCAGATATTATTAAATTTTGAAGTTCAGATATCTTTAAAAAGAGTTTATGCTGATACCTTTTGTTTTTTTTGGTGGCTGTTCTGTACAGGGATCCAAACCCATGACCTTGGTGCTATAAGGCTGCATTCTAACCAACAGCCAGTTTAAAGGACAATCCCATGATTACTAAATATGGAAAAGGTTCTAGTTGGGGGCAGGGGGGTGGCAGCTGGCTGGTATGGAGATCCAAACTCTTGACCTTGGTATCGTTAGCACCATGCTCTAACTAAGTGAGCTAACTGGCCAGCCCAAGATTTTTAAGATTTTAATTTAGTAGATTTTTTCCATTTCCTACTTAATCTAAAAAGTTTGTTCTGAATATTGACTATTTTAAAATTCTGTCTTATGCACTTTCATCTTACATGTGTGAAATTCCATTTGTTATTGGAACTGTAAATTGGGAAGACCTGAAGTTTTAAAGACTCAGGATTTCGTTTGCTAGCTCTGAATCTGAAAGAGCAGTGCCCACAGAAAACTGAGACCTAATCAAAATAAAAGACAATAGATTTTCACAAATCAAAATGGGGTTTGTAAAAGGTTTTAACAAATAAAACTTTGCAATAGGGAAGGCATGAAATGAGAGACAAACCATAAAGGACTGAATTTTTCAAAGGATTGAAAAGTTTTGCTGTGTCTAACTGGTCTGGTAAGATGTACACCAAACCTTTTTCAGTACATTTTATAGAAAGATGAAGAAATATATAATTTGGTTGTATATGATTTTCCCCCAAGTTGTCTCATCTATACATTTTTTTCTGCAACTAGCTTTTCTCATTTAAAAATAGGTTTTGGTGTTCTTTCATATTCATATAAAGCCACCCCTGGCTTTTTAACTTTTGCATAGTATTCCATAATACTGTGTACCATGGCATAATCAATCATTCCTTCTTTCATGTGCATGTAGTTTACTTTCATTTCTACTTTTTACAGTGAAACATATCTTTAAATATGTTTCTTTGTATTTATAAATAATTGTTTTTGTAGATTAAATTCCCAGAAAAAATTTCTGTGTCAAAAGGTATGCACATTTAAAATTTTGATAGGTACGTTAGAGGTACTCTCCAAACATAAGCTGTACCAGTTTATACTTTCTATAATGTATGAGAGTACCATTTCCTGCTACTCTTGCCAATGGTGGATAGTACCAATTTTTAAATATTCACTACTAACATGGGCAAAAAAGTTATTCATCTATAGCTTGTGTAATTATAAATAAGTGAATATCGATAACAAGAGAATGCTAGAAAACTAAACAAGAGAAATGTGTCATTTGCTTTCAGGTCAGTGCTGACAGTTGCTTGTGAACAGACTGAAGTTCTGCTTTTTGACCCTATATCTTCAAAGCACATAAAAACACTTTCTGAAGCTCATGAAGACTGTGTAAATAATATCAGGTTAGTATTATAGTGAAAAGGTGAACTTTATTAGTGTAGCCCAAAATATTCTGTTTTGGAAGTTGGTCAAAATGTATAATGCCTTGTCCAGCAGTGCTAGAAGGTCCACATTTGTGAATTGTGAATCTAATTCCTTATACAACTTACTCCTTTAATTACAAAACTTACCATTAACCATTTTGGATTGGAATCTTTCCGAAATTCATTTTTCACTTCCATATGATTTTATCTTTTCTCTTCATATATCAGGGTCATCATCATCATTATGAACCTCAGCTGTATTATGCTAGTCCTTGTAATGCCTTTGTGCCAATGATAGGGGTAGATTTATGGCAGTCGCATTGCATAGCATCTCTCATTGTCACTCTATCACCCACCAAATCCGAACTATTGAGAGGAGAAAACACGTGCACAGAGAAATTCCTTGTAGCAGTGTTGAAAGCAACTTAAATTCTCAGTAATGGGGGAAGTAAATTACAATTGTACAGTTTGGTGGATTAACATGCGATGATTAAAATGATAGCTATAGAGACTACATAGCATAGGAAAATGCTTGGGATAATATAGGTTAAAATTATGATAAAAATTGTACACATATGAAATGAAGAAGGTTAAAAGGAAATATTTTAAATGCTAGTAGTAGTTAGAGTGGATGGATTATGAGTAATTTTCTGTTTTCCAAACTTTATATAATGAGATTATATTACTTTCATAATTATTACTTTTAACATTCTAAAAAAAGAGGTGAAAAAATTTTTTCTAGTCAAGATAACATATGAGTTTTGACATAACCCCTATGCTCCAAATCCATAGAACAATAGTTAAATTAAATAGCACAAAAAATACAGCCAAGTTCAGGAACAACATAAACATCTTTGTGGGCCAGAAATGGAACACGAACACAAAGCTGTGAGCAGGGCTGAAACCACAGGCCTCTGCAGGGGTTTTCAGTCTAGCACTGACATCTGTTAGTTTTGTTCCTGTCAGTTAAAAGAATTAAAAAGTGTTAAAGTGCTTCATGTGAGGCAGGAACCAGAGCCAGAATCACTAAATGAAGCCAGAGTTTTGGTTGAAATGTCTGCCTCATTTGCTGCAAATAGCAAAAAACTATTTGTTATCTGGGGCTATGGGTTTTAGCTGATAAAGACACAGCCTCAAAAAAAAAAAAAGACACAACTTCATCAATAAGAATTTAAAGAAGCTGCTTACCGAGTCAGTGACTGAATGTGTATCTGTGATATTTTCAACATTATCATGAAACTGGACCCCTGAAATGTCGTTATATAAGGCCTGGTTGTGGACTGCAACCAGATGGCCAAGTGGGGTCATCTCTAAAACCATTAAATAGGGAAAGAGAGAAAAAATTACAAACTTTTTCTACTCAGAATGAGCCTTTAACCAAAATTCATGAGGGCATCTAATATTAACATCATAACAAAATCAACCACCAGAACAGTCATTTTCTCTGGATAAAATTAGTTTTATGGAGTAGTCCAACAAAGGCATTATTTTTAAAAATAAATTATTTATTTTTTTTTGACTAGGTAATACATGCACGTGGTACAAATTCAAAGGTACAAAAGGGTAAACAGTGAAAAGTAAGTCTATCTCCACCTCTGTCGCCTAGCCACCCAGTTTCCCTCCCCAGAGGCAACCACTACTATCAATTTCTTGCTATCCTGTCTGAGATAGTTTATGCATGTATAAGCATATACATACCCACACACATACATACACTTTTATATAAATGGTAGCATTCTACACAGACTATTATATACCCTGCCCGTTTCACTTATGACATATTTAGAGATCATTCCATATTAGTACCCATGGGGCAGTCTTATTCTTTTTAATGGCTGCATAGTATTCCATTGATTGGAAGACACTTTTAAACATTTTTAGGATGCTCAAAGAAACAAATTAGGGATACTTTCCAATTAAAGAGTGTTCAAAAATTATGAAACAAAAGAGGTGAAATAAGAACAGGTTAATGTAGTAAAGAACCAACTAGAACTCTTGGAAATTAAAAGTGTAGTTGGTATATTAAGAACTCGATAATTAGGGTAAACTTTACCCTTTACACTTTTAATTAGTGAGTTGGAAGATAGTACTAAAAAATTCACCCAGTACACAGAAGAAAGAAAATATGAAAGAGTAGTTAAAAGACAGCACTAATTGGGAGACTCCAACATATATAAAAAGTTGCAGAAAACGAAAATGCAGAGATTGGTAGAGAATTCATTTTTGAAGATATGATGGCTGAGAATTATTAGCATTGAAGAAGGGCCTGAGTCCTCAAATCAAAACTGAACTTTAGAGTGTCAAGCAGGTTAAATACAGATAAATCTACATTTATACATGTTGTGGTAAAACTCTAGAATATCAAAGATTGAGAGAAAATCTTAAAAGCCACCAAAGTTAGAAGCCAGATCAAGTACAGAGTTATGATAATTAAACTCACAGAAGCTTTCCCAGCAGCAACAATTGATACCAGGAGAAAATGGAATAATATTAATATCTTCAATATTAAGGCAAAATAACATTCAATACCGTATTATATCCAGGTAAACTGTTAATCTAGACTGAAGAATTTTAACTAAGTAAAATGTTAAATGTTATCAATAGCAGAAGGAAAATAATTTAGGGTTTTTTAGGAGGGCACATTTAAGACAAAGTTAAAACTAAAACTCTAGATTAGCACTATCCAATAGAAATGTAATACTCGCCACATATATAGTTTTAAATTTTATAGTAGTCACATTAAGAAAGAAAAAAGAAAGAGGTGAAATTAATTTTTCTTTGGCGGGGGTAGGTATGGGGATCTGGACCCTTGATCTTGGTGTCATGATAAATATGATAAATAGAAAACAAGAAGTAGAAAGAGTTCCGAATATATGAGTTCACGGTAAATATAAATGGATTGAACTTCCTTATGAAATGACACAGAGTCATCAATTTGAATAAAAACCAAAATTATCTATGTACTCTTTTTAGAGATACCAAAAATAAACCACTCAGAAATGGGAAAAGAAGGGCCAGCCCCTGGCTCACTTGGGAGAGTGTGGTGCTGATAACACCAATGCCATGGGTTCGGATCCCTATGTAGGGATGGCCAGTTAGCTCACTTGGGAGAGTGTGGTGCTCATAGCACCAAGGCCATGGATTTGGATCCCTATATAGGGATGGCTGCTTAGCTCACTTGGGAGGGAGAGCATGGTGCTAACAACACCAAGTCAAGGGTTGAGATCCCCTTACCGGAAGTCTTTAAAAAAAAAAAAAAAAGAAATGGGAAAAGAAAACCAGTGGAGATTATCAGTATTGGACAGATATAAAACCAACGGCTTTAATAAGAATAAAATGCAACAATACATATTTAAAAAAGGAAAAATCTATCAAGAAGATATAATAGTCACAAACTTATATGCATCTTAAACATAGCCTTGATGCACAAAGCAAGAACAGAATTTTAGAGAATTACAAGTCTGCAATCATAGTGAGAGACTTTGATATAGTTCTGTCTAAAACTAGTAAATCAAGATGATAAAAATAAAGCTGTAGAAGATTTTAAAATATCCTGAACAATCTGCAATCTTTCTATTAAAAACAAATGTTGGATGAAATGTTTTATATATGTGTGTGTGTTTGTGTATATATATATATATATATATATATATGAAGATACTTCAAAAAGTTCATGGAAAGATTCATATTGTATTTTAATTCTGTTTTTCCATGAACCTTTTGAAGTACCCTCATATATTTACGTACACACACACACACACACACACACACATATATCCCACATTTGCTTTATCCATCATTTATCAACAGACACTTAGGTTGTTTCCCCATCTTGGTTATTGTGAATAATGATGCAGTGAATATGGAAGTACAGATATCTCTTTCAGAAAGTGATTTCATTTCTTTCAGATATACATGTACTCAGAGGTGGTATTGCTGGATCACATGATAGTTCTACTTTTAATTTTTGAGGAGCCTCCATACTGTTTTCTATAACGGCTCTGCCAATTTATATTCCCACCAACAGTGCAGCACAAGGATTCCCTTTTCTCCACATCTTCACCAAAACTTGTTATCTCTTGCCTTTTTTATAATAGCCATTCTACCAGATATAAGGTGGCATCTCATTGTGGTGTGAAATGGAAGCAGGAATGCAAAGAAGTAAACACATATTCAGCTGGCTTTACCCTAGAGGTATCTGCCAAATGCTGCTGACCTTGGGCTTCTGTTTTGACATGTATGAGGAATACAGGGGATAGGATAGTTAATTCTAGGGCCAGTTAAGGTGAGGAGTCTAATAAAAGACTCTACATAAGGTTAGGACTCCAGAAGGCTCACTTTCAGCATTAAGATGGTGTAGAAATAAACCACCATGTTCATCTAGACTGTGACATTGGGTAGAGGAGTGTCAGAAAATCTCCTCTGTGAATATCTAACCATAGGCCAGCACTCATGCGTATATGGGGCCTAAATTCACACTCCCATATGATTCAAAACCTCCAGCCAACAATTTTAAGTTGAATCCAGGTTGGAAGTGATATCAGATACCTGCAAAAACAAATGCAAATCTCTGGAGGAGAAAACTCAGTATCATAAAGAAGTCAGTTCTTCCCAAATTGGTATGTAAATTCTGTACAGTTTTTGTTAAAATACCAACAGAGGTTTTCATAAAACTTGGTTTAAAAAGCATTAAATATTAAGTTCCACTGCATAAAAATTTTAAATTTAAATTATAATCAAAGACAGTAACAGTGTGGGAAGGTAAACTATAGGCTGATGGGAAAAGATATTTTCAGTGCATTTAACCAAAAAAGATTAGTATCCAGAATCATGTAAGAGAAACTACAATGAGCAATAGATATGGAAAGATTTTCAAGCTTACTAGTTATCATGGAAGTGCAAATAGAAGTAACAATGAAGAAATACCAAGTATTAGCAGAGATGTTAAGAAGTAGGAATTCTTAATTAATATTGATGGA